ATTACGTCAAAATAAAAATTTAAATAAAGTGAGTGAAATGTGCAAATTGATAATATTGAACGATTCAGATTTTGGTCAAGAGAGATTGTCTTTTTCTGCTGAAATGAAGATAGGAGTGGGGAAGGTGTGGGAAGGAATAAAAGTTATGGTTGAAGACATGGGAGGGCTGAGTTCTTAGATGCATCAATGATGCCCTTAACTGATTAGGCTCTAGTGCACTGCCGTTCTAACCTAGATACCTGTAGAGGCTGTGCAGTGTCTTTGTCATATGCAGTTTTCTGAGCTGCATCAGGTTTCCAGCCAGTTTGCATTCTCTCCTTGACGTTACTTACACTCGACACCTGAACTCCTCTTGTATCTTTAACCTAAACACCATTGTGAAGCCAAGGTTTTTTTCTACAGTGTTATGGGGAAGAGGATTAAGTTTTACAGAGGGAGAAGGCAGGCGTTTAAATTTAGACGTGGATGAAAGCAAATTTCATACTGCATCTGAATCAGAAACGAGGCAGAGTCACTTCTTTATTCTAAAAGCCAACAGCTGCTCAGAGACAAGCAGATTGAACCACTTCCTCCTTGCTCAGAAATTCTCAGAGAGCACACACACACACACATTTATATACACATATGGTTAGAAGAACAAAGAAAAGGAGCACAAGGAAAAATAATTCATTGATGATGTCATTTGCAACTTCAGCGCACAGTTATATGTTTCATATCACATGATTTCCTGCAAAAAGCATGTTCTAGAGTCCAGGCAATTCTCTCAAACCAGGAGGTTAAGGATTACATTCAGATAAGCACTAACCAACCAATTAAGACAGACTAGTTTTGTTTTTTATTAAGAAAGAGATACAATTTCTTTTTTAGATTTTTATTATGAAAAATTTCAAAAATACACAGAAGAATAGTGTAACGGCCCCCTCACATACTCATCACCCAGACTGAACAATCCAATTACACTGAGCTGGAAGAAATCATAAAAGAGGAAATCTGCAGTTTGGGATACAGAGCAGGGCACAGTTAAATTTAGCTTTACTGGGAGCTTGCTCCAACTTGATTAATCAGCTAATCAAAACCCTTTGTTTAATTTCAGTTTCCTTATCGTCATAAAGAAAGGCTATTTACAACTCACCAGGTGCACCAAGTTTCTGTAGATCTGGGTCGAATACTCAAGCTCTGTTAATTAATTAATTATATTTAATTAATTTATTTTTTGGCTGCGTTAGGTCCTCACTACTACAGGTGGGCTTTCTCTAGCTGCGGCGAGTGGGGGATACTCTTCGTTGCTGTGCGCAGGCTTCTCATTGTGGTGGCTTCTCTTGTTGCGGAGCACAGGCTCTTGGTGCACAGGCTTCGATAGTTGTGGCACGCGGGCTCAGTACTTGTGGCTTGCGGGCTCTAGAGTGCAGGGTCAGTAGTTGTGGCGCACAGGCTTAGTTCCTCCGTGGTATGTGGGATGCTCCCGGACCAGGGCTCGAACTCTTGTCCCCTGCATTGGCTGGCAGACTCTTAACCACTGTGCCACCAGGGAAGTCCAGAGACTTACATTTTAAAACTACAATCTGCCGTGTTTGAGATGGTGGCAGGGTGTCTGCATGGAGATGACCATTGGGCAAATGGAACTATAAACCTGGGTGTCGGGAGAGAGTTCTGGGACTGGAGATCTGTTGGAAGTGGGAGGCCATAAAACCGGGAGCCGATGTCAAAGAAGAAGTGGGTGGGGAAGAGAGTAAGGCCTGGGTAGAACTCTGTGGAACGCTCCCATTCAGGTTACAGGAGGGACAGGCAGGAGCTAGACCATGAAGCACACAGCCCTGGGAGAAAAGGAAATAAAAGCGGTTAACCATACAGGGTGGCCAAGGGTGCTGAAGTCCCTCAGAAGGCGGCAGGAGAAGGTCACGGCACAAAGACTACGAGGCAGAGATAAAAATCTAATTTCTATTCAGCACGTCTCACCCCTCTCCCCCCAACCCCTCCCAGTCCCTTCCACTTCTGGAACGCCTGGTCTCTGGGGGGAACATTGCCCTTACTCCTTTCCCCCAATGCTTTTATTCCCTTCTTCTTCCTCCTTTCTCCTGGACTAGCTAATTCCTACCCATCAATCAGATGTCAGCCTCAAAAATCTCTTTTCAGACCTTCCAGTGAGATCAGATCCCACCATCACACACTGTGTACTTTTCCTCTATAAAACATCTAGATTGTCATTGGGTACTTTCACGGCTCTTTGACTAATTCCTACTTCCTCAAGTAGATGGGTAGCTCCATGAGGGCAGAGACCACGCCTGGGTCCTTCAAAGTGTAACACAAGTGTCCACCTCCGGGCCTGGCTCAAGCTGTACTCAATCAAGACTGACTGAATGAATGAGGGCAAGGAGGTGGGGGGCACATTCTCAGGACTCAAGGCCAGATGTTCTTTCTGACACAGCTCAGAAATTCCATTCTATCCTTTGCGGTTCCCACACACAACTCTGGGTAATGCCAGCTGTCACCATCCCTGCCGCTGCTCCCGTGGCCAGTGTCCTGAGTGGGGTCAGGCCAGCCTCCTGCCCTCCAGCCTCAGCTCAGCTCTGCAGAGATCGCTGACCATGTCAGTGAGAGCTGTTTCGGGGGACTGATAAGGGTGGACGCCAGACTGGAAAGAGTGGGAGGTGAGGAAAGGGAGACGGTGGGTGTAGAGAGCTTTCTCACTAGTTTGGCTTTGAAGGGGAGGAGAGAATTAGAGTGGTAGGTAGCTGCGAGGAGCTCTGTGGTCAAAGCAGTTTTATTTTATTTATTTATTTAAATGGGAGCGATTTAAACATGCTTAAATGTCAGTGGGAAAGCTTCAATCAGGAAGGAGAGGTTGAATAAATCGAAGTGAGAAAGGATCCTGAGAGGAAGAGAGAAGGCAGTTCTAAGGGGCACATGGATGTGAATACAAGCTCTTTCTGCCTCACAGTTGGCTGAGGCCCCCGCCAAGAGAGGCAGCTGCTCTCCGATTCCAACGTGGGATGCTAGACCACCTAAGCAGGACTGGGAAGGGAAATGTCTGAGAACTAGTTCTGAGTCATTGTATTGACCACCCACCTCCAGCTTACAAAGAGGATGGATGCAAAGCCCAAGAGAGGACCAGAAACTATAAAGGAGATTTCTGGAAGAGAGGCTTGTACCATGGAAAGAAGGGGCGTGGGGTGTGCTTCCTATTTTCTCAAATCAACTAGGGGGGCCAAATAAGGAACTCAAAGGGTGGTCCCTAGAGCCAGGGGAGGAAATCTACAGGGGAGGCGTGGCTGTCAGTGGCTGCGCTTTTACCAAGTGCTCTATTTGAGAGGTAGGTGTACACTTCCCATGGATCAGATGTGGGCTACAAGTTTGAGACAGAGCGGCCAGAGGTTGGTCTGGGTCAAGAGTTCTCACCGGCAGGGACTTCCCTCATGGTCCAGGGGTTAAGACTCTGTGCTCCCAATGCAGGGGGCCTGGATTCGATCCCTGGTCAGGGAACTAGATTCCACACACCGCAACCAAAGATCCCGCGTGCCACAATTACGACCCGCACAGCCAAATAAATTAAATTAAATTAAATTAAAAAGAGTTCTCACCGGTGACTTTATACCCCGAGGGACATTTGGCAATGTCTGGAGACATGTTTGATTATCATGTCTAGGGGGCATTACTAGCGGGGTTCATCTAGTGGACAGAGGCCAGGGATGCTGCTACACATCCTACAGTGCCTAGGTTGGGGAAGGTTAGAGGGCAGGATGGTATAGGTTTGGTGTTGGGAAGTTGAAGGGGTCCCCATATGATGGTCTGAACTTTTTCTGTGGCATAAGAAATTCACCTTCTGCTGGGAGTGAGGGGGATGGGAGGGCCGTGGAGATTTGAAAGACTGAAGAATTGAAATAGTCATTGTAGGAGTCGGGGAGCTCCCACACATAGTAGGGCTGCCAAACAACATGTAAGAGAATGGAGGGGTCCAGAGGCACAGCCCAGACAGATTCCTGGGGGCCGCCCAGGGGTCCCGCAGCAGAGCCTGCATGCCCAGGCCCCTCCACAGAGCACTGCTGAAACCTGGAGTAGCACCGAGGGACTCTCTGTTAACAGCTCCATCTTCTTTTGGTGCTGTAGGGCTTAGCTGTCCATTAGTCCAACTTCAGCGTCCCTCACTGGACCCACATTGATGATTCAGTTCCTTTTTTTTTTTTTAAGATGTTGTTGGTAGGAGTTTATTAATTAATTAATTTATTTTTGCTGTGTTGGGTCTTCGTTTCTGTGTGAGGGCTTTCTCTAGTTGTGGCAAGAGGGGGCCACTCTTCATCGCGGTGTGCAGGCCTCTCACTATTGCAGCCTCTCTTGTTGCGGAGCACAGGCTCCAGACGCGCAGGCTCAGTAGTTGTGGCACACGGGCCTAGTTGCTCCGCGGCATGTGGGATCTTCCCGGACCGGGGCACGAACCCGTGTGCCCTGCATTGGCAGGCGGACTCTTAACCACTGTGCCACCAGGGAAGCACCCCCCCACTTTTTTTTAAGGTAGAAAAATCTTGACAAATATTTTTTAAATTTTTATTTATTTATTTTATTGAAGTAAGTTGATTTATAATGTTGTACCATTCTCTGCTATACAGCAGAGTGACTCAGTTATACACATACAGACATTCTTTTTAAATATTCTTTTCCATTACAGTTTATCACAGGATATTGAATATAGTTCCCTGTGTGATACATTAGGACCCTGCTGTTTATCCATTCTAAATGTAATAGTTTGCATCTACCAACCCCAAACTCCCAGTCCATCCCTCTCCCTCCCCTCCCCACCTTGGCAACCTCAAGTCTGCTCTCTATGTCTATGAGTCTGTTTCTGTTTTGTAGATAGGTTCATTTGTGCCATCGTTTATCTTTATTTTTTAAAGCATTTTAAAATTTATTAATCAATTAATTTATCTTTGGCCGTGCTGGGTCTTTGTTGCTGCGTGCGGGCTTTCTCTAGTTGCCGCAAGTAGGAGCTACTCCTTGTTGCGGTGCACGGGCTTCTCATTGCGGTGGCTTCTCCTGTTGCAGAGCACGGGTTCTAGGCGTGTGGGCTTCAGTAGCTGTGGCGCATGGGCTTAGTTGCTCCACGGCATGCGGGAACTTCCCGGACCAGGGCTCGAACCCCTGTCCCCTGCATTGGCAGGCGGATTCTTAACCACTGCGCCACCAGGGAAGTCCCTGTGCCATATTTTAGTTTCCACATGTAAGTGATATCATATGATGATTCAGTTCCTTGATCAGTGTTGACACAGTAACTGCGGGGAGCTCTCGGCCTCCATTGCTCCCATTTTGCCTTTACTGAGGGGAGACCTTCTGACTCCTACCTTGTGAATATCAACGAGCAGGGCTCTGCAGCCCATGTTCCCGGGCTCCTGCAGTAGTCTGTGGGGTATGGAATGGGACACACAGCTCTCAGTGCCTCTGACAGCAATGACTTGGTGCTGCGGTGGGAAAACAGACACTGACCTTGTCGCAAAGGAAACCCATTGGAAGGATAGGGAGTCCCTCACACAATAAAGGGGAAACTGGAAGAACCTAGTCTGCAAAGGACAGGAACCTGGGAGGCCTTGGGGACCCAGAAGCAGGAACCAACTGAGAGACTCATCCAGCCACTACGGGGATGTGTCAGCCGCCATCTCTTCTCTGCTTTTGCTTCCCTCCATTCAAGGGTCAGAGGCCAGGAGAGAGTGCCTAGGTGGGCCCACCCCCTCCCACCCCAGGGAGGACATATACCATTTCTCACTTCCATAGGTAATCGGAGTGCTATTCCCAGCATCCAGGGAGCAGAGGCAGGACTGAGAAACAAGTCTTGGGGATCTCCCCGGCTCTATCGGGAGAAGATTCTGGATGCTCATTTCCTGGAAGAGCCTCCACAGTTCCCAAGAGCCTCTCCTCCACGGTAGAGATTCCTAAACTCTGAGTCTCAGATATCCTTGCCACTCACATGGAGGAGGATTGCCTAACAGTTTCAGGTCATCACTGGACTCCCAGTCTAGGGCCCCTGATGTCCAAGTCTCACCTCCTCTCGCCAGCCTCTGTCTGGCTCAGCTGCAGGCCTCATACACTGTCTTGCTGAGGACACGCAATTTAACCACTTCACGCCCACAGACACGTGTGTTACACAAGCAGGGCCTGAAGCCGTGTCTTATTAACCTTGTAACTTTTTTTTTTCTAAAAGGGCAAAACACTATTTTAGTCACTGTTTTGCTGGGGGAAAAGTCCTGTTTGTCCTTATGATTCATTTTGGTGGTTTTTGGATGCTGTTGTATTGATTCACGACGACTCAGCATCTGGTATGAATTGAATGGGACTTTCTCTTGGTGACAGTAAAATGAAAGCTCTTATATAAGGCTGACACTAAAAAGAGGCCTGGTGGGAACACAAGAGTTTGAGTAATCTTCAGGACTTGAGTCAGTTCAATCAGAAGCTGTACCATCTCAGCAGAGTGAGCAAAAACCGACATGTGGCTTCAGTGTGGTGCTGCCTATGATGTAATGTCTGCTCCTCACTTTCACGCCGATGAGTCTTTGCAGGTCAGACTGCTTCCCACAATGTGTTGTTTTATCCTGTAGCCATTGTCCCAATAGACACACAGGGAAATAGAGGCAGGAAACTGTTAAGGATGTTGCCACAGGGCCAGAGTCTCTCTGGTTTGTTCCAGGATGTTTTCCACAGAAGCCACAGGCCATCCAGTGGTTCTTAATGGGGGATGATTTTGCCACCCCAAGGGGCATTTGGCAATGTCTGGAGACATTTTTGGTTGTCACAGCTGGGAGGGTACTACTGGCATCTAGTGTGTAGAGGCGAGGGATGCTGCTAAACACCCTGCCAGGCGCAGGGCAGTCTCCACAACAAAGCATTTCCCAGCCCCAAATGTCAATAGTGCTGAGGTTGAGAAACTGCTTTAATCCAAAACCACCCAAAATCCCAATGATTTCAGGTCATTAACTGACTTAATGAAAAGGCCACTAGTTATGGTAAAAACAGATCTTTTGAAAACTCATGTAATTTCTGTGTTTAAAAAGTGTATCTATCTTGCCTAGATCTTACTCTCTAAATATCATTCTCTGCTAAAGGGAACCAGGGATCCTGAGAAACGGCCTTTCCAGGGCTGGGACAGATGAACAAGGAAGGTATCAAAGTCCATGGGGTCAGATTAAAAGGACACAGGAGCCGACCTGAAGGGGCTCCCTGTGGTCAAATATGGGATGATTCGAACATCAAAAAGAACAATGCAAATATGCAAAAATTCATATCGGCAGTTGTGTAGCTTTTAGAGGTGTTCTTTATTTAAAAAATGATATTTCCATTGCTTATTAAACCTAGGTGTTCTCATTTTTCTTGAGCGTTATCAACAATGAGGAAAGGAAGTTTGTATCATCTTGGTTAAGGTCCTGTAGTAAAGGGAGCCACAGTGAGAGTACAGAGTGATCACACAGTCATCATCAAACAAACCATGGCCCTTGTCTGGGATGGTTGCAGCTTTTGTGTGGGAAGGAGAGTGAGAAAGAGAGGATAATGTGTCAACAAGTGATTGCAGAATGGATGGATACATCTATGATAGGGTGCTTCAGTTGGAATCATTCTCTTATAACCGAAAACCCAACTCAAGTAGGTTTAAACAATAAAAAGAAGTTATTGACGCATACGCAAGAGATCTAGACAGTGCAACATCACTAAAATACAACATCATCCAAAAACTTGAATGGTCCACAGTGAGACAGAACTACACTGCTGAAGCAACTACATGCATGATCATCTGTTTGGCTGCACCCCACAGGTCTGAAAGTCTTGTAATTGGCCAGCTGCAAGACTGAAGAAAGGCCCCAGAGACAGTGACAGAGACATCGGTGATAGGTTGGACAGGGGATCTTACATGTCCGAAGCAACGTCCTGGAGTGACACCCCACCGTGTACAGCAGACGGCAAGCAGGACACAGGGGCAGTCTTTGCAACTCTATGGGGAGAAGGACGTTACCAGTTATAGGGGGAATTGACATCAGGTTGGCTCATCAGTTACCAGGGAAACCAGCGGCTGGGGCGGGTGGGGGCGAGCACGTAGGCAGTTACTATTAAAGCCCTATGATTAAGAGGATTGGACAGTCATGTGAGTAGGGTGTAGGTGAAGCAGGGACTGGTCAAGGAGGGGATGTACAAGAGCAAGAGAACAGCCATCGTGAAAGGCCTGACCCTACATCATCTTTCTACAAACTTCCTTTCCTCCATTGTTGATAATGATAAAGAATAATGAGAACACCTGAGTTTATGAGGCAATGGAAACACCACTTTTCATAAGGGAAACTTCTAGAAACCATATGGTTCATTTTCACTGTATTTTACAAAATGTTACGGTCAATGGGATAATAGAAATATAAAACTGGAAATGAAAACCAAAACTGCCTTTATCAGTTTGAGAAACACTGCCCTAGTGTGGTGATTGAGAATCCTGGCTACTCCTTAGACTCACCTGGCGAGTTTTGACAACTAGTCATACTGGAGCTCATTCCCAGAGATTTTGATTTAATTGGCCTAGGGTGGGGTCCAGGCACAGGTATTTTTAGAAACCCTCCAGGTGGTTCTAATGTTGAGAGAGTTGAGAACAGGTGGTCTGGATTTAGGCTGGCCTCAAATGAGACTTGAACAGGAATGTCATCAAGGACCTGTGTTCTCATAGCACTAAATGCTTATATTAGAAAAGAAGGAAGATCTCACATCACTGATCTCAAGCTTCTACTCTAACAAACTAGAAAAAGATGAACAAATTAAGTCCAAAGTAAGGAAATAACAAAGATCAAAGAGGAAATCAATGAAGAGAAAACAGCAGAACAACAGAGGAAATCAATGCAACCAAAAGCTGGTTCTTTAAGAAAATGAATAAAACTGATAAACCTCTAGCCAGAGTGACTAGGAAAAAAATAGAGGAAACACAAATTACCAATGTCAAGAATGAGAGAGGGGACATCACTACAGATTGTATAGCTATTAAAAGGATAATAAGGGAATATTATGAACAACTTTATATCAAGAAATTCTATAACTTAGACGATATGGATAATTTCCTTGAAAGACTCAAACTATTAAAGCTCACTCAATAAGAAATAGATAACTTGAATAGCCCAATATTTATCAAAGAAATTGAATTTGCAGCTAAAAAAACCTTCTCACAAAGAATACGCCAGGCCCAGATGGCTTTACTGGTGAACTCTACCAAACATTTAAGGAAGAAACAATGCCACTTCTATACAAACTCTTCCAGAAAATTGAAGAGGAGGGAATACTTCCCAGCTCATTGTTTGAGACCAGCATTACCACAATACCAAAACCAAAGACACTACAAGAAAATATATAAAAATCCTGAAAATCCCAACATCTACTAAATAGACACCCATTCCTGAGATATTCATCACTTGTTGCCTGCCCCTCCACAGCTCTTTTGAAAAGAAGTTATCCTAACTCAGGACCTAGCTCTTAAATGACCTTGAACTGTACTATGGCCTCCTTCTTCCTGGTTCCAGATGTTTGGACCCAACGTTAGCCATTTAACTGGCACCTGGAGACTGGCTTAAAGAGGTGTGCTGGAACCCAACCAAATGCCCTTCTCAGGAGGCTGACCTAAGAGACACAAAGGGAAGGAATAGTTCATGGTGGAAGCTGAGGATGGAGACTCATATTGACTAAGCAGCTGTGGCAGCCATATTAGAACCATGAGGAAAAAGGAGAGGAAATGGATCCAAAGAGTGGAATGGGGCAGATGCATAGGCACAGGCAGAAACTGCAAGAGAGAGCGAGAGAGAGAAAGAGAGTGAGAGAGAGAGAGAGAGAGCTAGTAATGAGGGAATGCCCCAAGTTTCTGTCCCTTGTGACGCCTAGCTCTTCAGATTCTTTGGGATTCATATAGGACACTTTATACTTGACACATGAGTGAACTTCTGTTTCTTATATCCAGAACCACCCTGACTAACCAAAATGCTCAATAAAAGTTAAGTTCCTTCCCTTCCTACAGGTTAAGTCCTTGGTGTCACTTAGCCTAAAGACATCAGAGGCTACCTTCTTCATTCCCAAAGGCCTCAGAGCCTTAATTGGATTCTCTTTTTTGTGTGTGTGCTCATTAAACAAAAGAATTTTTTATCGAGGCATAACACAGTCAAGTACACAAATCTTACGTATATACATCAAAGAATTTTTACACACACACACACACATACACACACACACCTTTATATAACTACCACCCAGACACAGAACATTTCCAATGCTTATAGAAGGTTTACTTTTTCTACTCTCTGTGGAGTCGCAGATCAGATTATGAGCAGTTGGTTAGGTGTCCATGCGCTATGAACTGAATTGTGCTCTCCCATAATCCATATGTTGAAGTCCTAACCTCCGATGTATATATTTGGAGATGGGGTCTTTAAAATGTAATTAAGGTTAAATGAAGTCATAGGGTGGGGCCCTAATCTGATAGAATTGGTGTCCTTATAAGAAGAAGAGACAGCAGAGCTCTCTCTTCCTCCTCCCCCTCCCCTGCACACATAAAGAAGAGATCATGTGAGTACCCAGGGACGTGGTGGCCGTCTACAAGCCAAGAAAAGAAGCCTTAGAATGAAACCTACCTTGTTGGAATCTGGATCTTGGACTTCTAGCCTCCAGAACTGTGAAAAAGAAGTTTCTGTTGTTTAAGGCACCCAGTCTATAGCATTTTGTTATGGCAGCTCAAGCTGTCATACCATGTGACCTATACCAAGAATGAAGAGAGGAGAAAGAAGTTTTGAAAAGAAAACTACCCTTGGTAGGAGCTTGGGCAGTTGACCCTACAATGCAAGCAGGCGGCCTGTGCCCAGCATGCGACAGGGTTGAGGGGGAGAGTGCTGGCAGCACAGCCTGGAAAACAGGCAGCCCCTCGGGCCTCCAAGTCCAGTCTAGTTCCAGGCTGATGTGGACATATTGCAAGGAGACGTTGACAAATTTGGAACTACAGTTAAATGTCAACCAACAGCCTCTCGTTCATCTGTCCCTTAGGAAGTGCTCCAAGATGGCCTAACGATCCATTTTATTTTCCTGATCCAAATGTGAGCCTGGTGGGTAGAACCATCTGAGCATTGACTTAACAGGAAAAACTAACCCCTCAGCAGAGAATGGACTCAGCGCAACTTAGCAGCCAGATCATCCTGGACCACCTCTGAAGAGCCAAGCTGTGCTGCCACTTCCTTCTGCTAGTAAACAGTCACTACTCCTCACCTGGATATCGGGGAACCCTTGGCCAGGAGTAGCTGGGAGGGGTCAGTCCTGGTCCAAGCTCCCTCACTCTGTCATTGCCCTGTGGGTTGTCCCCTCATAGGCTTCTGTGTCCTAAGCTGGCCACTCACTAAACTTGTCACTCCTTGTGTCAGAGCTTTTGTATCAGTGACAGAGAGCTCTTGGTCTCTGCCTCTGAAACTGCTCTATTTTTATCTCTAAAGGAGAGTTCTGTTGCTTCCATAATTTCTCTTCCTATTTGTTATGGCAACGCCGCAATGCAGCCCCTTCACCCACCTGCAACGTGACCCACCGCAGACGGCTGTCCTCTCTGGGCTCCCATGGTGGGGAGCAAGGGAAGGATACACCCCAAACTCGAGGTAGTGGGTGCCTCGAGGCAGGGGGAGGGGATGCAGTCAGAGAGGGACACTGGGGGATTCACCTCTGTTAGTACTTTTTTTTTTTTTAATGAAATTATCTCATTTATTTGATTTGTTTCTTTATTTCTGTCTTCCCTGCTCTATGAGAACGGTGACCCCAGTGAAGAGTGTTTACTGGTGTATCCTTGCCATCTAAAACCGTGTCTGGTAAATGGTAGTAGGTATGCGATATTTGTTGAATGATCTTGTTAATCCAGGAGCAAGGCTGGTTCTCAGCTCTGAAAGGGAACACGATCTTTGATAATAATCATGAAAACAAATTCAAACACAAGGAAAGACGTGGATTCCAATGGAGATCTCTCTGAAATCAAACCTGACAAGCAATCTCCTTTTCCCCTGATTCTCTTTATAGCTCAAATACCGTAAAGTCTCTGCAGCAACTGGCACCCCGTGAAGTGCATTTAAGGAGGGATAACACAGAGGGATTCATCTATTTCTGCAGACGGGGGAAAGTCTGTTTAGTCTCCGCCAGGCTGAAAGGTGGAAAAGGCACTAAGGATATACATCCACTTTCTTACCTCTTCTCTGTCTGGCTCCTACTTGGCTTTCAGGAGTCAAGGGATCCTCCCCCAAACCTCACATTCAGCTGCATCTCCCCTGAGCTCTCACATCTTCCGGGCTTCGCTACCCTAGAGTAAATCCGGCTTATATTTGTGGGGTTACCTGGCTGTCTCCCCTGACACACTCCGGGCTCTAGGAAGGCAAGGGCCTGGTGTTGGTCACGGCCATGTCCTTGGCCCAATTCATGGCACAGAAAAAGCTGCCGGAATGTTTGCTGACTGCATGAGGGCGGCAGCCGCACACCACCTGCCCCGGAGTGCCTAGAATCCCACCGCCTGTGACCCTGACGCGCAACACGGCACAGAGGCCAGAGAGCCAGTTGGGACCCCACAGGCTCAGGTTTCCCAGAACAGTTTCTTTCCGGAACGTGGGTCTTCCACCTCGCTCAGAGTAACGGGTCAGGGCCTAAGCTTCTGAGGTAGACGCCGGCCTTAGGAGAGAGGCAGTGCGAATCCTCTGTTGGCCTCTTTCGGGAGGCCTGAGTCTGTGAAGGCGCCAGTGGAGCCGCCGAGCAGCCTAGAGGGAGACTCCCCGGGTGGGAGCTCTCTCCAACTGGTACGAAGGGGCGGGCGAGGGCCTGTCCCCCTCTCGGAGGGCATTCCCTTTCTCTGGACCATGGGTTCTGGGGTACTCCCCTCTAAATTCTGGGGGTCAATAACGTTTAGGGGTGTTCCGAAGTGGGGGACGCTCCGGCGGTTCCCCTCACCCCGGGCCCCGAGAC